GTTGTTGCGTAATTTGATCCTTGAGTTGCATTAGCATGTACACATGATCCAGTTCAATGTGCCTGTTGATTGAGGAGTGCCAAGCTTCGAGAAATTCCCTGGCGTGTTTTGACCGAGCTTAGTCGATAATTTTCACTGAAGCGAAGTCAAGCTGATGCCCTTCTTGATCTTCGTGGAGGGAAGTAAAAGATAGTGGGTCATGTCTCCTGACTGCCGCTTGGTGTTCACGGATCCTTGTAGACATTTTTCTCCCAGTTTGTCCGATATAGTGTTTTGACAGGCGGTAGGTCTGTGGGCGACTTGGAGTCCACATGATCTGAGCAGTCTGGCCGTCATTTCTGAAACGTCTTTGATGTACGGCAGGGTAGTTCTTGTTCCCGATTCTCCGTCTGTTGTTTCTTTGGGTTAGAGTTCTTTTATTGAAGTTGCGGGTGTAGCCGTTGCGAGCAAATACTCTGAGGAGATATCTTTCTTCCTTCTTCTTGAGTATGTCGGTGCTGCAGTGTGTTTGGATTCTTCCGAACAAGGTTCTAACACAGCACCCCTACCAACCTCGCCCCCACGCACCAGTTTAACGGTGAACCCAGTCGAACCCAATGAGAACAAGGGACAACAATGGTCGGTGGAGAAGGACACATATAAACGAACGGACACAAACAGAAGACTGCCACTTCACAAGCACTGATGATGTCACCTCGGCTGGTGATGAAACGTTTGCAAACAAATTGCTAAGCTCGGCGAACAGGCGAGATAGAAATCAAACACCCCTGTTTGCATCCCAAAGGGCGACAACCCCCGGAAACGGTTAGTGGAAGAAAAAAGACAGAACAAACAGCTAGGTGATTGGTGAATTGGTCATAACAATCAGGATGATGAAAGCGAGATTCATTGAAAACTCGATCATCATCCACAGGAATTGGTTCAGTAGTCCCAGGACAATTCTAATCAACCGACATCAGCTGCCACAGTAAATAAAACTAAACAGTGATCGAATGCCTTAGACTGTAGAAGAAAACTCAGGCAAACCTTATACAAGAACCACTGGCGAAGTATTTGCGGCCGAAGGGAATACAGTCAACATAGATTTACGGTTTACCGAAGCCGCATAAAGAAGGCGTTTCATCACGACCCATTCTGAGCATGATCAATTCACCCCAAAAGGCACTA